GAGTCTTTTACTCCATGTTTCTCTCATGTCTATTATTTACTGATTTTCATTCCTTACATACTCGGTACATTATTTGTACTGACGTCCCTTTGCCGGGGGACGCTGCGTTTCATGCCCGCAGGTCCTGATAGACAGGTCGAGAGTCCTCCAAGTAGGCTATCAGCTCAGCGGAAGATGTTGGTGCACTCCATTTGCTCTGGAGTTTCTTATTTGGTCAGTATAATTAGGACATGTATTGATTGGTATGGCGGGGCTCAGTCCCGACCTTTATGATACTTATGTACTCTTAGATGCTTGTAGATAGATGTCATGTATACGGATACTTGTATGGCCTTGTCGGGCTATATTTTGAGTTTACAAATGACCATGTTGGCCTTATAGGCCCGTATGTCATATGTGTAAATTTTTATATCAGGTTGGGTCGTCCTATATGAAGTACTCCCCCATGTTCATTCTGATTAGCCCATAATGGCCCGTGTGGCTCATTTGCCATTGAAGGTACGATAAGAATGATATGCTATATTGGTACTTGGTTGAGTAAGGTATGGGGTGCCCGTCGCGGCCCATAGGTTTGGGTCGTGACAAAATATTTTCTTGAAAAATAAATAGTAATCTTACTCATTTTTCGGTGTTTGGTACGTAAATTAAGGAAAATAATTTCTCAAGAGTATTCATAAATAATTTAGATATAATAAACATGAAGCCATAAACTTTTGAACCGACAACCTTCTGAACCTATAAATTTCATAAATTCCTGAACCGCTAAACTTCCGAACCCGTAAACTTTATATTTCTACACCCGTAAACTTCCAAACATATAAACCTCCAAACTCATAACTTTGAAAATCGTAAAATTTCGAACATGTAAACAGAAAAATAAAAAAACCATAACTGAAAATATAAAAATAATTGCGGGGGGGGGGAGGGGGGGGTGCAAAAATGTAATAACCCAATATTTTAAATGAGAACATATTGAATATTTGATCAATAATTTAAGTCCAAAGGAAAAAAAACTAACTAATAAAATTTAAAAAAAAAGAAGGAAAAATGCTAAGGAATTGAAACAACAGGGCCGAAGCCCATTCTTTAGCCAAAAGGCAAAAAGAAAAGAAAGGGATTAAGGGAAAGGGGGGAAAGACTCACGGCTGGGAAAATAAGAAGAGACAACATGATTTTGCCATTCTCCTTCCATTGAAGAGCATGACAGGAATTCAACACACAGAAAACCAATTAAATAGAGAAGAAGAGAAAGGTAAGTTTTTAAATTTGATTTATAGATTTGATTCATAAATTCCATGGCTATAGAGTCGAGGGTTAAGAATTAGTTGAAGAAGTAATATTAATGAAATAATGTAGTCATGGAATTTTTTAATGAATTATACTATAGATTTGGGGTTATAAACTTATATATTTCTGTATATACCAACAAAAAAGGAATATTAATAGGTTTGGGGTTATAAACTTATATATTTCTGTATATACCAACAAAAAAAAGGAATATTAATAGGTTTGGGGTTATAAACTTATATATTTCTGTATATATCAACAAAAAAAGGGAATATTAAAAAAGGGGATAAACTTATATCTTTCAGAAACTTTTCTATTTCGTTAGTGATTGGTAATCAACTATGATTGCTATTAATATTGGGAATATTGGAAAAGGTTACAATGAAATTTTGATAGCAGTGAGTTGGGTTACTGAAATAGATCTTGATATTTCAAGTAGAATTAGAGGGATTTGTTAGGTTATTTTAATTCGGCGAATTAAGAGCCAAATAAGAAACTCTGAGGATTTGGGTATTCTAAATTAGTGATGAATTTAACCTAAATGAAGCAATTAACACGAGATGGATGTTGATGTGGTTATAGATTGATTGAAGAAAGTCATATGGATCGCTCGAGGTGACGAGTTTGATATTTCACACGAGTACTGTGAGTAGTAATCTTACCGCAATTTGCATTTTCATAACTTGCATGATTTACACATAATTTTTATTATGAATATATTACCGATTATTTTGAGTTGCATGTGAGACAAGTCTTTTACTCGATATGATACCGAAATAATTATTTGAGATAATTACCGTTGTTTTAAATATTCTTGTTGTCACTAGATATGTTTTACCGTTACTTGAATTTACGGTTATCGAAATGAAATTACATGATCTGATAAGAACCGAAATGCCCTATATTGTTTTAAAATATTTTCTTATGAGTATATACGGATTACAGAGACAAGTATAAATGGGAGTAGACTTTGAAAGATCCCGTAGCTAACGGCGGGTTCGTTAGACCTGTTACACCTTGTAATTACCGATTACCGTTATAGCCCTCGCTAGTGGGAAGGTAGAACTAGCATACCGTTACTGATTTCCCTCGAGTAGGGACTACCGTTATATTTGACTTCTTGCGAAGAAGTCCACAGTTATACCGATTACATGATCCGTTCATTGAAACCTCCCAAACATGAATATTGATATTACACAGTATTTACCGAGCTTATTACCGAATTGTCAATTGATTTATATTACATGAAAATCATGATGAGACTGATTATTGTTTATTGTTTCTGAAAGGGCATTCTTATGATATTTTCTGTTTAATATATATACTAGCATATAATCTGACTTGTCCCCAATAAAATGGTTGTGGTTAAGTGTTATTACTCACTAAGCTAGCGACTCACTCTCCGCTATTTTTTTTCAGAGACAGCAGTTGACGCAAGGGAGAATTTCGTTAATTAGAGCGCACATGTTGATAGTTCTTGGTGAGTCTCGCACTTGTTCGCGTAGGCGGAGATTTTATTTATTATTATGGTCTTTTCTTTGGACTCTTAGAGTCGCTCCATAGTCATTCTTTTAGTGTCATAAGTATTTTTTCGTTATTCTAGACTTATGATGAGTATTGTACTTTCTTATCGAAATTGGAGATAAATTAGTATTTCTCGTTGTTAATGGGTTGATTAGTAGTGGTGGAGATTTATTTTGGTTAATTGATAAGTTGTTGATTGTTTGGTTTGATATTAGGATAATTGGTTGTTAATTTTGAGACAGGATATTCTTTTGGATAGTCCAAAAATAGGGGAAATTCTGTTCGTTTTTCTGTAAATTACCGATAAGGCGTACTTGGGAGCACTTGCTCCTAAGCACCGGTCACGATCCTAAATTGGGTCGTGACAAGGTTGGTATCAGAGCTTAGGATTTAAGTCCCGAGTCATGGAGCAATGTTTAGTAGAGTCTTGTTCATGGGCATGTAGGCGCCCATACTTATGATCTTGAGGCTACTAAACATCTAGGAATGTTTTCCCTTCTTTCATTCTTTGATCGTGCGTTGAGATAACTTGAGATTGACTTTGGAGTATTTCTTTCGCAGATGGCTAGGACACGCACGCCCTCATCTGCTAGACGTGGTGCTGGACGTGGTACTAACCGAGGTGCGATCAAGCTGGGGTTCATCAAACTAGAAGACATGCGGCTCCTCAACCTAAAGTTGGGAACATGGGTCAACCCCAAGCTACTATGCCAGATCAAGTGCAAGAACAGGGGGTTCAGGACGCTCCATCACCAGTGCCAACTATTGTACCTATTGTTGCCTTACCTGTAGATGCAGTGGCAAGATTATTGAATGTGTTAGAGGCATTGGTGCCTACTCAGGGTGAAAGTTTAGCTCCTCAGGCTACTTTACAGACGCAAGCACTTGCACAGACTCAGACTTTCGGGAATAAGGAGGTATCCCTACAAGAGTTTCTGAAATTGAAATCACCAAAATTTACAGGTTCTGATAATTTAGCAGATCCTCAAAGTTTCTTGGATGGGACACTCAAGGCATTATGTGCTCTAGGATGTTCTAGTGAGAGAGCCATGGAGCTCGTAGCATACAAACTAGAGGATATGACCAATGCATGGTATGAAACTGTGTTGCTAGGAAGGCCAGCAGGAGCAACACCACTGACATGGGACGAGTTCACTAAGTTATTCATGAATCATTTTCTTCCAGACAACCTGATGCAAAACTATGCTAGAGACTTTGAGAGATTGGTTCAGACTCTAGATATGGATGTGTTAACATATAACACCAAGTTTTGTAAGTTGGCTAGATATGCTCCTTACTTAGTGCCTACCAAAGAAACTCGAGTTCAGAGGTTTGTTGATGGATTGGTTGGTCGTCTATACACTGCAGTAGCCCCACATATGAAGACTTTATCCTACTCTGATGTAGTCGACCTTGCTAGAAACATTGAAAACAAGGGACGTGATGAGCGTACAGCTAGTGATTTATGTAAGAAGGCTAAGACAGAAGGGTCTTTCAGTGGCAGTTTTAGTGAAAATCGAAGAGCAGGAAATCAAGGACAGCAACAACAGGGTTCTCAGACAGGGACACACCTGTCTTCACAGCCCACATACAGACCACATTAAAGACAGGGTACTAGGGGACCATCATCATCTGGACATCATAATTTTGGGCAGATATATGCCACTACTTCAATTTGCTAGACATGTGGTAGATCACGCTTGGGCCAATGTCGTGTTCTAACTAGAGAGTACTTTCGGTGTGGCCAGTAAGGACATCACTTGAGGGATTACCTTCAGCCTCCAAGAAATTTCAACCAGGCTTCTACTCAGTCAGTTGCACCTACTCAGACTACTCGTAATACCTTAGGTGCTACAGGAAATAGAGGTCGAGATGCTGAAGATCGTGCTACTGTGAATCAAGGAAAAGGGAATGTTGGTAGAGGTCAGGTGAGAGTTTTTGTATTTACTAGATAGGATGCTCAAGACTCGAATGCAGTGGTTACAAGTATTCTTTCTGTCTGTTCATTTGATGCACTTGCGTTGATTGATCCGGGATCTACTCACTCCTATGTGTCCTCGTACTTTGCTTTGAGGTTTAGTAGATAGCCTGAGCTATTGAATGATCCATTTCTAATTGATACTCCTGTTGGGGAGTCTCTATTAGCTGAATATGTGTACCGTGCTTATCAGATTCAGGTTGAGGGTAGAGATACTTTAGCTGACCTTATTGTACTTGATATGATTGACTTTGACATGCTGATGGGAATAGATTGGTTGTCTTCTTGCTATGCTATCGTCGATTGTCATGCAAAGATAGCTAAATTTGAGATATCAAACGAACCCAATTTTATTCTAAGAGGGAGTCAGGTTCCAGAGATTTGCAAAGTTGTATCATTTATGAAGGCTCAACGACTTCTGAAGAAAGGTTGCTTGAGTCTCTTAGCTATTGTAAATGACACAAGAAAGGAAACAATTAGTAAAGAAAATGTACCAGTAGTAAGAGAATTTTCTGATGTATTTCCTGAGGATTTACCAGGATTGCCTCCAGTACGAGAAATAGATTTTGGTATTGATTTGCCACTGGACACATCCCATATCAATACCCCCATATCGGATTGCACCAGCAGAGTTGGAGGAGCTAAAACAACAACTGCAGGATTTGTTAGATAAGGATTTTATCAGACCGAGTATATCTCAATAGGGTGCACCAGTACTGTTCGTAAAGAAGAAAGATGGATCCCTGAGAATATGCATTGACTACAGGCAGTTGAACAAGATAACAATACGCAATAAATATCATTTGCCTCGTATAGACGACATGTTTGATCAGTTACAAGGAGCTGCCCACTTTTCAAAGATTGACCTTCGTTCTGGTTATCATCAGCTTAGAATCAAAGATAAAGATATTTCTAAAACTGCTTTCAGAACTCGATACGGGCACTATGAGTTTCTTGTGATGACTTTCCGACTGACTAATGCTCCAGCTGCATTCATGGATTTAATGAATAGGGTGTTCAAGCCGTTTATGGATAGATTTGTAATAGTATTTATTGATGATATCCTGATATATTCTCGTAGTCAAGAAGAACACGGGAATCATCTCAGGACTGTGTTGCAGACATTGCGAGAATATCGGCTTTATGCTAAGTTCTCGAAGTGTGAATTTTGGCTAGACTTAGTAGCATTTCTGGGGCATGTTATATCCAAAGATGGAATTATGATAGATCCTAAGAAGACCGAAGTTATGCACAAATGGCCCAGGCCTACTTCTCCTACAGAGATTCACAGATTTTTAGGCTTAGCAGGCTATTACAGGCGTTTTGTACAGGATTTCTCCAGAATAGCAGTGCCATTGACTAAGCTAACACGGAAAAATACAAAGTTTCAGTGGACGGAGGAATGTAAGAAGATCTTTCAGAAACTCAAAACATATTTGACAACTGCACCAATATTAGCCTTACCATCAGGTTCGGTAGGATTTACAGTATTCTGTGACGCCTCGAGGGTGGGATTAAGATGTGTTCTCATGCAAAATGGTCGCGTTATAGCTTATGCTTCTAGACAATTGAAAAGGCACAAGCAAAACTATCCTACATATGATTTGGAGATGGCTGCAGTGGTATTTGCTCTAAGAATTTGGAGGCATTACCTATACGGCGAAACTTGTGAGATTTATACTGACCATAAAAGTATGAAGTATATCTTTCAACAGAGAGATTTGAATCTTCGACAGCGTCGGTGGATGAAAGTACTCAAAGACTATGACTGTTCTATTTTGTATCACCCTGAAAAAGCCAATGTGGTAGCTGATGCATTGAGCAGAAAATCTATGAGGAGTTTGGCACATATAGCTCCTAAAAAGAGAGTTTTGGCCAAAGATATTCAGAGACTAGAAGTTACAGGTATCAGATTTTGTGTCGGAAATTCAGATGCATTGTTGGCTTGTGTCCAGGCTAAGTCTTCATTAGTTGAGCGCATTAAGGCCATCCAATATGAGGACGAGCGATTATGCAAATACAGAGATGAGGCCTTAGCTAGTAAAAGCAAAGATATGATTGTTGGAAGTGACAGTGTTCTTCGAATGGGTAACAGGTTATATGTAGCAAACGTAGATGGGTTGAGTCATGTTATTCTTGAAGAAGCCCACAACTCTAGATATACTATACATCCTGGATCCACAAAAATGTACCATGGCCTGAAATAATTTTATTGGTGGGAAGGCATGAAGAAGGATATTGCTAACTTTGTTTCTAACTGTTTGACTTACCAGCAGGTCAAGGCAGAGCATCAGCGACCCACAGGACTACTACAACAAATTGAGATTCCAGAGTGGAAATGGGAAAGAATTACTATCGATTTTGTCACCGGGCTACCACGAACCCTTAGAGGTTATGACTTTGTATGGGTGATTGTAGATCGATTGACAAAATCAACACACTTTTTGCCAGTGAAGACTACATATGGTGGAGTGAGGTATGCACAAATATTTATGAATGAAATTGTCCGACTTCACGGAGTTCCAATATCCACCATCTCTGATAGAGGATCACAATTTACCTCACACTTTTGGAAATCTTTTCAAGAAGCATAGGGTACACGAGTAGATCTTAGTACTGCATTTCACCCACAGACAGACGGACAGTCTGAACGTACTATACAGATCTTGGAGAATATGTTGAGAGCTTGCATTATTGAGTTTGGAGGTAGTTGGGACACTTATCTACCTTTAGCTAAATTTGCTTGCAATAATAGCTTCCAGTCCAGTATTCAAATGGCACCATACGAAGCACTGTATGGTAGAAGATGTCGTTTTCCTATCGGATGGTTTGAAGCTGGTGAGACTAACTTATTGGGGCCCGACTTAGTACACGAAGCTATGGACAAGGTCCAGTTATTCAGACAAAGATTGCTTACAGCTCAATCTTATGCAGATAAGAGAAGAAGATACTTAGTG